CCTGGGGTAGGACCCTGACCCTTGAAGGCTACAGGGTTACACATCTGGGGGGAGGGGTGCCGGAGTCCATTCATTATCTTTGCTGGCTGGGTTTGGACGGAGACCCCCCAGAGAAGGCTGGTGACCTTTTGGAAGTTAGAACTGTGAACTACCCAGTAGGTTTGAGTGGTGATGGTTGAAGCATCTCCACCTTAGTTCACTCAATTAGATCTTTGTTGATTGTTGTTAATCGGATGCTCCTGGAGATCTGTTGATGGGTTAATCGGGTATTCTGCCTATTCCTGAAGATTGTTTGCGGATGTGTGTCATTAAAACCTCTTTACCCTAAGGGCTACTCCAGATGAATAAAAGCTTGGTGAGACCTGAGCAAAGGGGAGAAGGAAGTCTTTCCAGAGGAGGAAGTCTTTCCGGACTTGCCCGCCTGGTCCCCCGGTATCGCAAAATTATCTTGTGTCTTTTTCATTTGTTGTGCGGCTCCTCTTTCAGATACCGAACCCTACTCCACGCGGGTCGTGGAAGGAATCACTCAGCATCTGGCACCCGAACGTGGAGGGAGTGTTACTCAGCAATGAGCTTTTTAAGATGCTCAAAAATTTTAAATAGTGTAAATGGCATGAGACCAACAAATTTGAGAGTCATTGGATTATAGCATTCAAAGGACAAAGCTGGAGTGGGGTGAGCAGCCCAAACAGGTAGAAATGGTACTATACAACCTTGCAATTTCCCCTCCTTTTTTTTATAAAATGTAAGCAGCAATAAATGTTTTCAGTTATAAAACAAACACATTAGGAATATTCTCACACTTTAATTTCTAAAATCAGATACCACCACTTGGTGTTATGATTAGATACTACATAATTTTTTCTTGGAATTTTAAATAAATACTTAGAATACTCTAATTATAATATCATGTTAATCAGTATAATAAGTAGCTATTCATAATTCTTGAGAAATACATTATTCATATTGGCAACAATCACATGGTTAAGTATGTAGAATGGAGGGTATTATTAAGAAAAGTATTAATCTGGTTTCCTTAAACAGGATATATACTTAAAAGTTTGATCTGCTTTTAATGGCTACAGTACAAATTTAAAATATTTATTATTGCCTGGCCAGTGTGGTTCAGCCCTTAAGTGTCAACCCATAAACCAGAGACCATGGTTTGATTCCAGGTCAAGGCACATGCCCCTGTTTTGGGCTGGATCCCTAGTTGGGAGCATGCAGGAGGCAGCCAATCAATGATTCTCTCTCATCATTGATGTTTCTATCTCATTCTCGCTCTCCCTTCCTCTCTCTAAAACCAATAAAAACATACTTTTACTGGTAAAATATAGAATATTTATTATTGTACAAAGTTGTAATCAGAGTGAGGATACAATATTCTCCTGTATTACAACTTATAAAACTGACTTACAAGACTTTTCTCAGTACGTCTAAAAAAGTTTATTTACATAGCAGAAAATTCTAACAATTATGTCATTACACTTTAGAATTTTCTATCTAATTTTGTTTTCTTAGCCACACATTCAAGACTGGTCATTACTGGTCCCTATATAAGTCTTTAGGTACAAGAAGTTGCATGAACAAAGACATGGAAGCAAATAGCATAATTTTGTTGAAATGTGGGTTCATGATGGCTGAAAACATTAGCTGGGATAAAATTATGCAAGGTCCTTAAGTGAGGTAAAGAATCTGTAGATGAAAAAAGCTAACTTTTTAATAAGTTTAAAATAAAATACAATAAAAAAACTAAGAAAACAGTAAAATGCACAGAAGCAGATAATGGTGGTTGGGGGCACATAATGGTGGTTGGTGGCACTTGGGAGGAAGCGGTGACCCCAACCTCTTTTTTAATTTGTGAAATTAATTTCTGAAAGGGAATAGCTTTTTAAACCGCCATCCTGGTTGCTTGTTGGATTCCCAAGTAGTCAGATTGCTAGAGAGTTGGAATCTGATTAGAGCTGCCAGGTATAGCAAGTAAAACACAAGAGGCCCATTTAAATTTAAATATCAGATGAAAAATAGGTTTTTAGTATTTAAGTATATTCCAAATAATGTATGAGATATATTTCCACTAAAAATACCCATACTTGATTGATCTGAAATTCAAATTTAACTGGCAGTATGAAATATTTTATCTGGCAACTTAGTTCTAGCTAATTAAACATATTTCTACAAGTCATAATAGTTGGAGAAAAGAAGCACCTTTGATCTTTTCTCACATAAATTTGGATAAATAAAATACTTTTCTAGGTGTTCGGCTTGCAAGAGATGACTATTTCAATCACATAAAATGAAAGCAAAAATAATCCTGAAATACATACACACAAGAATGCATGTATAAGACATAAACATAGAGAGATTCCTTTATGATAGAAAAGAGACCATGGGAAATTAATCTACAAAACAGCAAAATCAAAGGAAACCTCAGTTCAAAGCTCATGCAGTAGTACAAAATGCAGATGGCTGGCTGGTGGGCAGAGACCACACCACAAAAGGATTTGAGAGCATGGGTAAGAAGTTTGGGTGTTGTTTTTTTTAAATATATTTTTAATATATATATTTTTTAAAGGGCGAGGGATAGAGAGTTAGAAACATCGTTGAGAGAGAAACATCGATCAGCTGCCTCCTGCACACTCCCCATTGGGATGTACCCGCAACAAAGGTGCATGCCCTTGACCGGAATCAAAACTGGACCCTTGAGTTTGCAGGCCGACACTCTATCCGTTGAGCCAAACTGGTTAGGGCAGGTGTTTGGATTTTAAGTGCATAGACAAGCCAGCCATTCAGTGGCTTTATAGCAGTGGTTCTCAACCTGTGGGTCGCAATCCCTTTTGGGGTCGAATGACCCTTTCACAGGGGACGCCTAAGACCATCAGAAAACACATATATAATTACATATTGTTTTTGTGATTAATCACTATGCTTTAATTATGTTCAATTTATAACAATGAAAATACATCCTGCATATCAGATATTTACATGACGATTCATAACAATAGCAAAATTACAGTTATGAAATAGCAACAAAAATAATTTTATGGTTGGGGTCACCACAACATGAGGAACTGTATTAAATAAAGGGTAGCGGCATTAGGAAGTTTGAGAACCACTGCTTTATAGTGTCCTAATCTGCCCTGGCTGGTGTGGCTCTGTTTGGCATCATCCTATGCAACAGGAGGTTGCCCATTGGATTCTTGGTCAGAGGCACATGCCCCATTGCAGTCTCAATCCCCAGTAGGGGCTGGGCAGGAGGCAGCAGATTGATGTTGAACTCCCACATCGATGTTTCTCTCTCTCCCTCTCCCTTCATCCCTCTCTCTCTAACAAAAAATATACACAGATGTGCATATATGTATATAAATAAATCAATAAACTATTCTTAAAAAAAGAGTATCAGGATATGATTTAGTTTTAAATATATGATCATAACCACTGTGAATGACCAGGGGGTGGGCAAGAAGGAAATTAAGTGGTTATTTCCATTGCAGTTTTATTTCTAGTCTCCTGAAGCAAAAAACAGTTCTAACAATTAAGGTAGAATAAACTACATGGTTTCAGAAACTATATGATCTTTATGATTCACAATATATAATTTCAATAGAAGTCATACAATCTAGATGGAAAGACTTAATGTTATAAAGATGTGTAACTACTTTAAAATAATCTATACATTTAATGTAACCTCAAAATCCTAAAACATTTCTTAAAACTGAAACTTAAAAAGCTGAAAAAAATTCAATTGGAATAATATAGAAATGACTATGACAATTTTGAAAAAGTACTAGGAAATATGTGTTAATTATCAAGGTATGTTATAAAATTATATAAGTGTTGTTTTGACATAAGAACTCACAGATAGATTAGTGGAATAGATGAGTCCAAAAAGTGACTCATACATATAAGAAAATTGATTTAATGGAATAGATGTTTCCTATTTGTGGAGAATTGTCTGGCATTAGGATATTAGGTAATTCTTTGGGAAAAAATAATAAAGAGCCAAACATTAAAAGACACCGTTAGCAAAGTTAACTAAGACAGAACAGAATGAGGGAAAATATTTGCAACACAGATTTAACCAACAAAGAACTAAGAGAATTTATAAAGAGCTCCTAGAGAGTGTGAATAAAAAATAACCCCTGGCTCAAAAATGCCAACACATCATCAAGAAGTAACATTGCTTCTGACATTTGGTGTCAATTTTATCTAATTATAGAAGAAAGATATACATTTCCTTGTGAACTATAGAGACGATGTAACTTCCTGCCCTATACTACATAGTTCAATAGAAGGTCTACAGTAGTTATTCAATCTAAGTTGAATGAGTAAATACATGAATGTAGACTGAAGACCATCTTATTCTGAGTTACATATTAGGTCTCCTTAGCCGGATGGATTGGCCAAAGGTGTCCTTTCAATGTCCCTGGCAACATACAAAGCGAAAGGAAAGAAATAATTGAGGTCAGAAATGGAGGTAGTTGTGGAGGTGCTGGCGATTAAAAATTCTCAGGTGACATTAAATTTGCCCAGCATCTTAAAGGAAGTAATTCATGTTAAAAGTACTACAGGAAAACCACTCAAAGCAAATGTGTCAAATCGCAATTCATCTAGTAATTCTCAATTTTAAGCAAATGCAATAGTATTCCAGACTTATAAATACTACTGCATAAGTTGGTACTAGGTTTATATAAAGAGATCTATATTTTACTTTTTCTAAAGAAGATAGTCCTGTAACACAAATTTTATAATTGAGAAAACTAAATGCTTGAGCATTTAAGTAATTTGAGATTTTAGTCCAAGTCAGGCTCCAAAGTCTAAGTTCCTCACATTATGATGCCTTGAAAACTGTAAAGGATTTTTCTACTATAAAGCACTTACCTTAAACTCTAAGTAATGCAGAGCCATTAAACAGATGAATAACCACCAACTATATTCTAGTGAAATACCATAAAAGAGAGAAATAAAGAATATACTTACTCATTCCTGAGCATTCTCTATCACCATCCCATACAGTAGAAACAACATGTCCCATCAATGGGAGGTGAAACTTTAGGATATTCATAAAAAATAAAGTTATTAAAATACGAGTAGACAAATATTCAAATAAAATGACCCCTGTGGTAAGGCATAAAGTAATGACTTTTTACATTAAATTATGTTGTTTAAGAAACAAAGTTAAAAAAAAAACTTACATTTTTCATTTTATTCACTCAACTGAATAACAGCCTTGTTAACTGAATCACTTATCAGTGGTTCTCAACCTTCTGGCCCTTTAAATACAGTTCCTCATGTTGTGACCCAACCATAAAATTATTTTCGTTGCTACTACATAACTGTAATGTTGCTACTGTTATGAATCATAATGTAAATATCTGATATGCAGGATGGTCTTAGGTGACCCCTGTGAAAGGGTCATTTGACCGCCAAAGGGGTCACGACCCACAGGTTGAGAACTGCTGCACTAAGTGAATCACCAGAATGGCATCATTCTATTTATTCACATAAATTTAACAACTTTATCTAAGATGCCGTATTTGAATGAATAAAATGATAGGCTGATAATTTACTTAATATTTATAATGATCTTTTCAAATACATACATCAATGCTATTATTTTGTGCTTGATGAACCCATGTGAGTTTTAACCTCTGCAAAGCACTTATTTTTGAGAGTGAGTTAATAATCATTGTTTTATCCATTCTAATAGAAATAGCTATAAAAGAGCTTGAGAGGAAGGACAGTTTCATAGAGAATAACAGTAAAAAATATTTTTAACCAAGAAGGGAAACATTTATAAATAGGTAAGTATATACTGACTAGAGGCCTGGTGCACGAATACATGCACCAGTGGGGTCCCTTGGCCTGGCCTGCAGGCTAGGGGTCAAAACCAGCTCTCCAACATCCCGAAAGAGGTCTCAGATTGCAAATGGCACAGGCCAGGCCGAGGTACCTCACCAGTGTACAATTGGGGCCAGGGAGAGATGCGGGAGGTCGGCCAGCCAGGCAGGGACCATAGGAGGGCCGCAGGGTGTGTCCGGCCCATGTTGCTCAGTCCTGATCAGCTGGACCTCAGCAGCAAGCTAACCTACCCGTCAGAGCATCTGCCCCCTGGTGGTCAGTGCACATCATAGCAACTGGTTTACCGGTCGACTGTCTGCCCCCTTGTGGTCAGTGCACATCATAGTAAGCAGTTGAGAGGCCTTAACATATCATTAGCATATTATGCTTTGATTGGTTGAACGGCCTACTGGTCGACTGGACACTTGGCATATTATGCTTTTATTATATAGGATGTCTAAGTCAAAATGAATAAATCTCATCTATTAAAAGTTTCATAAATATCAAGCAGAGGTTGTTACACTATTCTTGAATACCCCTGTCACCTTGAAACAAACTATGTGCTACAATAAATGCACTGCATACATAAACCTAAAGTGGAAATTAACACTTCACACATAAGGCAAGCAATGCATAAAGCACAAGACGGCTCCAATTCAAAGACTTTATCCTGTTAAAATTGACAAGGAAAATATTTTAACTCCATGGTACTTTATTCTAAGTCAAGTTCTTAAATTAAAGTCCATTTGAGGAGATAATGGATTTTAGTTAATTACCTGCCTTGTTCATACACAGGATCTATCAAAGGTTCAGTTGAATCTTCAGTTTCATTTATGTTTTCAATGCCCAAAAGCAACCAAATATTCATGGCTTGTCTTAAACACTATAAATAAAAATTATCATAGTTTAAAAATTAACTAGTTTGTACTATAAAATAATAAAACATAATTGTGAAATAACTTTTCTCCCAAAGACTTAACCAGCTTTGAATTATGGTTGCATTTAAGATGATGACAGTAAGAAGGAGTTTCTGCAAGAATATCATTTTACTTTCTTTCATGGGAACTATATAAAAAATATAGGTAATAGATCAAATATTGGTTAAATGAATAAAGAGAAGTAATGCGTAAATTTCAAGAGGAGAAAAGAGAAAAATATTTAATCCAAAGTTAATATTCACTTAACTTTAAGCTAAATTACATTTAAAATTGTTATTCCTGCTAAGGCAATTGTGGAGAGTGGCAACAGCGTTTGAACAGGTTCAAGCCTCAGACTGACAAGAGGGCACTGTCTTCTTGTGGCAAAGTCACATACAAGTCCCAGCTTGGAGGGCAAAGCCTTCCCAGCACAATTATAGCCAAAGGCTATGGTTGAATATAAGCTCTTATAGTCCGACCTTGTAGTCCTTGGTTGCTGAGAGATGTGAGCTGCGGGAGGTAAAGCAAGTGCTACCAAAAATAAGCTTGATAGAGTTCAGAGAATTGCAAAAACAGGAAAGAAGTAGATTTGAAACCCGCAAAAACATTGTAAACATCATGACCACACCCTTGTTTTGCTTTGTGTGATCTGACTATAAAATAAAAATTCCGCTTGCTTACAGACTGTGTCACTGTTTCCTCATCCAGGCACAGTGATCCACCTGGCCCCAACTATATTCTCTTTCCTGTTTCTTAAATCCTTCACCGCCCCTCCTCAGGCTCACCACTGGCTGTGCTGGACATGGTTCAGGCAACTGACATAACTCTCGGGTCATTAGAAAGCATATTGGGGCCCGAGGATCATGGCAGAGGGCAGATCTGGAGTAGGTGTGCATGTGAGAAGGTGAGTGTATGAGAGGGAGCATATGCACGTATGAGATGGAGGGCATGTCTGTGAAAGCGGGAGTTCAGCGAGGCCACTGGGCACTCCAGACAGAGCAGTTGCCACTGCGGCTGCTGCCTGGCAGGCACTTCTCTCCACTTCAGGGAAGAGCGCACATTTGTGAGGGAGTGCAGGATCTCTGTGGGAGGAGATACAGGGAGCACCCTGCCCAGCACCCCTGGGCCCCTGACAGAGGCATCCAGCCCCCAAGTCTCCAGGCACACAGACCAGTCCTCAGGGCTCAGTGAACTATGCACCTGGAGGAATGGCCAGCAGTACAAGGGGCTCACCTGCCATATTGGTGACAGGGGCCCTGGCCTGCCCAGCCTTCTCCTGGGCAGAGTGACAGGCTGGCCCCACCATTGGGACTAATGGGGCACCCTGCCAACTACTGGGCAATGGAGTGCCCAGCTTGCCCCAACCTCTCAGTGAGCAGCAGGCTCCGCCCACTCCCCAAGGGAGGGCCAGGCACCCCACTTCATGATCAGAGTGTGCTCAGTCTGCCCCAACCCCTCTGTGGGCAGAGCAACCAGCCCACCCCTCCATAAAGGCCAGCGAGGCAATGGCCTGCCCCCTGCATGAGCAGAGCAATGCCCAGCCTGACACTCCCTTCTCAACAGTGGAGCCCCTATCCCCAACCACCACCCTGACACATGCCCAGCCTCGATACAGGGACTGGCCACCCAAACCAGCATGCCTGACCCAGTGTCCCTGGACGACTAGTCCCACCGCCTGAATGTGATGCACCCAACCCAGCGCCCTGTGACCCAACACCCCCAGACACACAGATCTGCCATTGTGACCCACTGTGTAGAAATGGCTCTACTGCCTGACACTGCCAGGTAGATGCTACCTGAAGCCCCCTGACATAGGGACCTGCCACAGAGACCATATATGCCTAACCCGAGGCCATCAGAAGATCAGATGCACCACGGAGATCCATTGGGACTAGTCACATCTGAACACATGGACTCCTGCTGGGAAACCACCTGCCTCACCCAGCTCCCCAATCTACCAGACTCCTAAAATGGGAAGACAAAGAATCCCCAAAGGAAAGAAAAAGAGGAATTGCCAGAAAATAAACTAAATTAAATGGAGGCAAGTAATTTCTCAGATACAGAATGGAAAGTAATGATTATAAGGATGCTCAAACATTTGACTGAGAATTACAAGCAACTTGATGAGAATTATAAGGAGTTGAATTGCAAATGCACCAACATGGATAAGAATCAATGGGAAATGAAGAATGACATAGGTGTATTAAAGAACAGCCTGGACGTATTAAACTGTAGCCTAGAAGAAGCTGAGGACCAAATCAGTATATTAGAAGACAAGGTAGAAAAACTCCTAAACAGAGAAGCAACTGGAAAAACAAATGAAAAATAAGGAGGAGAGTTTGAGGGAACTTTGGGTCAACCTGAAAGAAACAACACACATATAATAGGGGCTCAAGAAGGAGAAGAAGCTGAGCAAGCAATAGAAAACCTGTTTGAAGAAATAATGACAGAAAACTTCCCTGACTTGGTGAAGAAAAACTCACAGGAAGCACAAAGAGTCCCAATCAAGAGGAACCCAAAAAGACCCACACCAAGACACATCATAATTAAAATGGCAAATGTAAAGACAAAGAAAGAATCTTAAAGGCTACGAGAGAGAGACAAAATTACCCACAAGGGAACTCCCATTAGACTATCAGCTGATTTTTCAATAGAAGCACTTCAGGCCAGAAGGGAGTGGCATGAAGTATATAAAGTAATGAGAAGCAAAGGACGGAATACAAGACTCTCTAGCATGGCTATCATTCAAAATTGAAGGTGAAATCAGGAGTTTCACAGACAAAAAAAAAAGGCTAATGGAGTTTAATTACTACCAAAACAACAATGCAAGAAATTCTGAGAGACTGTTGAATAAAGAAGAGAAAAGAGAGAGAAACACAGGCACAAAGAATAAAAATGGCTGAAACCGGTTTGGCTCAGTGGATAGAGCGTCGGCCTGCGGACTGAAAGGTTCCAGGTTCGATTCCGGTCAAGGGCATGTACCTGGGTTCCGCGCACTTCCCCAGTGGGGGATGTGCAGGAGGCAGCTGATCGATGTTTCTCTCTCATCGATGTTTCTAACTCTCTATTTCTATCTCTCTCCTTTCCTCTCTGTAAAAAATCAATAAAATATATATTTTTTAAAAAGAATAAAAATGGTAATAAACACGTACCTAGCAATAATAACCTTAAAAGTAAATGAATTAAATGCTCAAATCAAAAGACATAGGGTAGGTGAAGGGATAAGAAAACATGACCCATATATATGCTTTTACAAGAGACCCATCTCAGAACAAAAGACACACACAGAATGAAAGTGAAGGGATGAGAAAAAATTTTCCATGAAAATGGAAATAAAAAATAAAACGGAGGTAGCAATATTCATATCTGACAAAATAGATTTCAAAATGAAGGCCATAACAGGAGACAATGAACGCTTTGTCAATAAACTGAAAGGATTGACACAACAAGAGGATATAATCCTAGTAAATATATATGCACCCAATATACGAGCACACAAATACATAAATTAACTTCAAGAGTATTTAAAGGGAGAGATTGACAGCAATACAATCATAGTACGGTACTTTAACACACCACTGGCATTACTGGAGAGATCTTCAAGACAAAATATCAACAAGGAAACAGCAACCGTAATGACACATGGATCAAATGAAGTTAGAAGACATTTACAGAACATTTCACACCAAAGATACATGTACATTCTTCTGAAGTGCACATGGGACATTCTCAAAGACAGACCACATGGTAGGGCACAAAACTAATGTCTAAAAATTCCAGAGGATTGAAATCATATCAAGCATCTTCTGGGATTACAATGACATGAAATTAGAGGTCAAATATATAAAAAAAAAACACCCCAAAACATTCAAACACATGAAGGCTAAATATCATGTTATTACATAATAAATGGGTTACCAATGACATCAAGGAAGAACTCAAATATTCCTAGAAAAAAAATGAAAATGAACATACAACCCAAAGCCTATGAAATACAGTAGAAGCAATCCTGAGAGGGAAGTACATAGCACTATAGGCCGATCTCAAGAAACAAGAAACATTGCTAAAAAAAAAACAACAAAAAAAGAAACAACTGTCTAACACTACAACCTAAATATCTAGAAAGAAAACAATAAGAAAAAACCCATAGTAAGAAGGAAAGAAATAAAAAGATCAGAGCAGAAATAAATGAAATAGAGACGAAAAATACAATACAAAAGATCAATGAAACCAAGAGCTGGTTCTTTGAAAAGATAAATAAGATCCATGCACCTTTAGACCATCTCATCAAGAAACAGAGAGAGAGAGCGCAAATAAATAAATTCAGAAACAAATGGGGAGAAATAACAATTGACATCACAGAAATACAAAGGATTGTAAAAAAAGATAATGAACAACTACAGTGGGGCCTTGACTTACGAGTGTCCCGACTAACGAGTTTTTTGAGATACCAGCTGTCTCTCCACCGATTTTTTGCATTGAGTTGATAGAGTAATTTGAGTTAATGAGCTCGGTCTCAGAACTAATTAAACTCGTAAGTCAAGGCCCCACTGTATATGCCAATGAGCTGGACAACCTGCATGAAATGGACAAATGCCTAGAAAAATACAACCTTCCAAAATTGAAATGAAATAAAAGAATTTTCAAATCACAGAAAACCTGAATAGGGCGATAAGTACTGATGAAGTAGAAGCAGTAATGAAAAAACTCCCAGCAAACTAAAGCCCTAAAACCTGGAACAACATAGGGTTGTCCATTTTCAGCACCTTTATTCAACATAGTACTGGAATGCAGGAAGCCACCCACTGCTGACACTATCATGAGAGTGCACCAAAGAAGGTGAAAGGCCGATGAAACTTTGTTTGTTTTGAGATAGTGGTGGCTTGAAGCAATTTCCTGACCTAATAGCCTTAAAGTAAATGTTTACTGGGCCCTACTGATCTTTATTGACCTTGGAGACT